AGCTGCTGATATCGGCTTCTTTGGATTGATATATGTAGCAAATGTTGATTTACCACATTTTGCTGCAATTTGCAGAATATCACAGTCCTTACTAAGACCTGATGTTTCCAGATCGAGGAAAACTATAGATTGATATTGCTCGTCGTCAATTTCTGGCTCGGAATTTGTATGATCTATAATGTTAGTATTCACTTCTGGATTAGGTGCATCCAATAGAGTACAATTTGTTTGATAAGTAACACCTTCTCGATCTTCCCTTCTGTGGCGCAGAGCCGTTCTCGTCTTCTTTAAAGCTAACCGTCTTTTTTTGTACTCTGGAGTCAGTATTCGACGTCGCCTGTCGATTACAGTCCTCTGAACTCTTTGCGCATGCCTGTAATGATGTTTTCCGGGTGACATGCCCGCAGATTTGAAAACGTTTTCAATGAAATGTTCGCCTTCGTTTTTCTGTGCAATCGTGCTAGCAAAACGATAGTCTGAAGAAGCCGTGAGACTATAACATCTTGATTTCGGAGCTTTACTAGCCATACTTGCGTTCAGACTCTCATTTACGTTGCTAGAAACTCCGGCAGAAAACTTTTCAGCGTTAGCTGCCAAACGATCGAAAATATTTTTCAAATCTTCGAATAATTTCTTATCGTGAAAACCTCCTGGAATAATCGTATGATCATAATTTTCTGGATTTTTGACAAATCCACACCACGTACCGCATTTACTATGATCGTTAAAAGCGTGATATGGTATACACTGAATAGCTTGAGCCATAGCTGTACTGTTTCCTTTGTTAGTCTTCATGGCATATGTAAAACAACGATGCAAATATACGATTGCATCTTTTATCAGTTCTTTGTGTTTATTTGATATTTTATATAATTCTTTTGTAACTCCACCCGAGGTATGATTTGTATCCGAGAATTTCACTATAGGATGGGAGCTCGTCGATCGGCATGCTGCAATTGTTGAGCTATCGTCGTCCCCAATCAGAATACCGACTTCAACGTTCTGGGATTTCAGAATCGTGCTGTTGTTTACAAGATTTTGAGCAACGTGAGGTTCCATGGCTTTTGCAGAACCCCAGAAATTCTTCCGACAATCGTGGTTTGTCGGATCGTGTCCCATATCACATTGTTTGCATTTCCGATTGCAGGTAGCATAATCAAGTACTAAGCCTGTCTTGGCTCCAACGATCGCTCCGAAACCATTTAAGCTGTCATAGCTTCGGCCGGCGCCTCTTTTACTCCAGCCCATATCGTAAGATACCATAATTCGAACTATATCATCAAATGTTACGATGTTAGTGTTCAGCTCGATCTCAGTCTCGTGTTTTCGCTCAAGCTCTTCCTCATGACCCGTAAATCTTGTTGAAGCAGTCTGACATAATGACATCTGAGAAGCCGTTATAGTCGAAGGAGAAGGTTGTGGGGAATTTTGGATTACAGATAAATT